CCATAATTTTAGATGAAACAGAAAATTCTGGCTCTCATGTTTTTTACCTGTTCAAATCTTGTGTGCAGTGCACTGTGCAAAGAGCAGCCAGTCGAAGTATCAAAGCAATGCCCTCCATGGCTTCCAGAATGTCAACTGGGAGATTGTCTTGTTCCAGGAACAGCAACAGAGATTCTGCTTTCTGGCTTACAGCATTCCACACACTACTCTTTGTTTTCATATTGACAGGAGCGAGGCTATGAATTAACATATTTTAAAATAGTTTCTTTAATATTCGTAAAGTTACAACCAAAGTCTCTGAACGCAAATTTCTCAGCAGACAATTGCCAAACTGACTAATTCCTTATTTTTGATGCAGAATAATTAAACAATGTATGACACACAAAGTTTTATCCCAATGTTCAACAAACATGTGAATGTTATAGATCTGATTAAACTGCAGTAATGTAGCAGAAACTTACATCATTGCAACAAAACACTGTTTAATTTTAGTCAATAAGGTAAAACTGAATATTGCATGTAGCATTTTTTCCCACATATTATCCCAACACTTATTTCCACTACCTCAAATGCAAATATTTTAGGTTATGCAGAGTAAAAATACAGAAACCACTGACAAGAATTTTGCATTTTAAAAATGTATTTGAAAAGTGAATCCAAACCAGATGTGAAGATGAGACTTTCAAGGATATAGCAGTTTCCCAAGTTGTTTCTCGCCTAATTATTTCTAAACACTTTTATGCAGAAATAACCAGAGTTAAATAACATACTTTGCTGATGCTGACAACTTCTTGGCTTGCCTTAAGGATAGACGTAGCCTTTTCTCTGGAACTTCATCACTACTGCTGCTCCCCCCATCAGTATCAGAAGTCTGTGGATGATTGCTACGCTGAAACTCTTGGATAACTTCTGATGCTTCAGTCTTCAGGGCTGCATAAAGTGGACTCAGCAGATACTAAAAGAGAAAAACAGGCATCTCAGAAGTAATATACAACTTTCTCTCTGTCTTACTTATACAGCATACTGCAACTTTCTACAGAATTATAGATTAAAGATCAACATGATCACAAGGATAACTAAT